TTTGCTAAGCAAATTATGAAGCGAAGGCATTGGTATGAAGCGGCCGTGATGCTGCATGGATATATGTGTACACATGCACCGCTAAGCCCTCGATAAGCGGTTGTTGGGCAGGTTGTTTCTACGGAAACTCGTTCGAAAAACGATTAATAACAAGTGAACGACTCTTTTTCGCAATGAAAAAAAAAATAAAATAAAAAAATTTTGACGCGTTTACTGCCACGTCTTTCGCCGTTTCGCCGCTATATTAGCGCTCCTACTCGTATTTTGGGCCAAGCACTGCAATCATCGTGCCAAGCGCCGCTTCATGATTCCATTCTCGGATAGAGGTGTGTACTGTTCAACGTGTTGCAACACTACAATTCCTAGTGGTAATTAAGTGCGTGCCGCATCCCGCACAGACGCGATGATCAACGCGAAGCCTTTATACTTCTATCCTTTATACTGGGTTGTGGCACATCAAATCACTCATTGTGCTGATTCTGAAAGGTCGGGTGAGACGGTCATTATGATGCTAAATACCTGAAAAAAAAGTCATAACAAAATGAAAAACGTGTTTTGAGGACAATGATGGGTAGCGCTTTAGCCAGTCCTAGGGTCCTAATATCTCACCAGAAGTGCAGCTGCCGCCACTTTATTTGAACGTGGCGGCAGCTGCACTTCTAGCGACATGTTTTCGTTTTGGTACAATTGTAATGATGCCCTTGTCCAGCACTCACAGGATGATAAAAGGACAAAGTCTTCGCCGTTGATCAATCCCTTCTATTTATTTACTTATTTATATCTATTTATTTACTTATTTTATCTTGTTGTAGGCAGCAGGGGCTCTTTTTAGGATTTTTTCTCCAGGCACAGGGGCCCTTTTTAGGATTTTTCTCCTGAATTAGCTGAATTGCGATGGTAGCCCACTACATGATTGCGTGGGCAAGACGATTTACAAGTCAGTGTTCTGGCTTGTAATGCCAACGTAACTGGTGCAGTTCAGCGTTCCCGTAGGGTAGAAGGCTTGGTTGGCCTCGGCGGAAGCCGATCCGGGACTTGATCCCCAGACCGTGCGCTTGGTAAGCGTGCCACCTGCCCTACACCGCCTCTGACTCCGGGCAAACAATAAAATAATTAAATAACTAAGCATATAAATAACAAAATAACTAAACACATATGTTAATGAATAACAAATAATCAAATACTTACTTAGATGAATAAGTGGTCGGATAAATACAATATAGTCCGTTACATCGGTCAATCCAAGCTTACAATCTACATGGGAACCTCTTCGTTATACGTTTTCCTCCTTTTCTGTGTTCCATCGTTAGAGAACCAGGCGCTAATGGAGAATGAGGGCCAAAACGTTTTTTCTTCGGTCGATACTTGGTAATTAATTGCGCGTGCTGTGGAGACACACACGTCACGCCATTCATATTGCGCCAGTTTTCGTAGAACCCTTTCGATTTTCCTGAAAGAAAAGGTCTCTAAAACGATTGACTGGCGCCGAACAATTTTCCTTTGCTTCGAACTTTTTTTTCACGATAAAAATATGCCCTTTCCAATATTCCAATTGTGAGCTCGTCATTTGTCGGATGCCAGAGGCCCATGAGATTGTGAAATACTGAAAATATCGACGAAGACCTCATGAGCCACGAAAAAGCTATTGAATCTGAGGACTGACGTCATGGACTGGTCGAATCCTGCTCACCAAAGAAAATCCCTCAAGTGGCTCTAGTATTGGGCAATTCTTGACCCATTTATGACCGCCCTACTTGCGCTCACCCCCACTTTCAATCAATTTCATCAACCAGGTGTCAATAATTGCGTCCTTACTGTGTAGTAGGGTTTAGGATTTTAGCTTACTTTACTATCTAATAAGTCTTGAAGTGCATGTACCACTCGGTTCGCAGCGGGTTATAGCCGAATTCCGCGCTGATTTTGCAGGCGGAGATACCTGAGCACTCTCTTTGCTGGTGAAACCCCCGTTTCAGAGCAAGCTAAGGGGATCTGCCCGTCGAACCAGCGCAAAGTTTTCACTGACAGGCAGATTCCCTCCCTTGCACAACTAGTCTGGTCCACAATCGGGGCTAGACAGTGAGTGACAACAGCGCCCGGCCATCAATCGCCTTGGGAGCACCACCCGTAGAAATTACCCCATCCATCTTAGCCGGTTTATGCCAGCGAGGTGAATGGCGAGACACTCATCTATGTGGATCCATGTCTGCTATCTCAGCTGTTATTTTGTTGTTTCACATTCACGTCTGCGCTCTACTTTGTAGATATACTGTATCGCTCCTTCAAATACCCGTCCAGTGGAGGGACCTTCTTTGAGGCATTCGCAAACAATCCCCTGCTTTTTTTCTCTTCTCTGTCGAGTCTATGACAATCACAATTATTTATTCATGCAAAGTTGAATGACGTGGCTTACTTTTCTATGTAGTACCCCTGCCATCCTTGCTGTTTTTCTTGTTGTCTTGTGTTATGTCATATTTTTGTCTGCGCCCTACTTTGCACAGGCTGTATATCGCTTCTTCGAATACTTGTCCAGTGGAAGGCCTTATTTAACACGTTCCCGAATGGTTTCTCTGCTTTTTTCCTTCTCTGTAAACTTTATTGCAGTCATTATTTTTGCAAAGGAGGGGGCATTTGAGAAGCATGGATTGGAGTGCAGGCTGAGCAGTCTTTTCCACCAATAGATGCCACTCTGAGCAAGCAACAATTGGTGGAAAATGCTGTTCTGGCTGCGCTCCAATTCGTATCCTTCACACGCCCTTCGTTTGCAGTGACAATGACTGTAGCATACAAATTCATATTTGAACCCGACCAGCCAGAGTTCTGCTTGAAGAGGTGGGCATTCCATCCCTCCTCTCCTTCCCCCCCCCCCCTCCCCCATCCCGCAGATTCCCATTGTCGTGTGGGGCTCTCGAGTAGCGACTTGTGAAATTTTGTGAAGCCATGAAGTGATACCAAATTTGAATTGTTGAAACTCTTTGTCAACTCTTTGTAAGATTACCTCCGTCAACTCTTGTAAAGCAATGAATAAGACGAAGTAACGAAAATGCAAAATCCCCCCCCCCAA